CGCTCTCATTCCAGCTCTTTCCTTCTGCCCCTGCCTTGCTCTTTAATTTGGCATTGTTCAAATATCCTCAATAGAAAGAAAAGGACAATCCAATAATACATGTAAATCCTCGCCAGACACCTCAGCCACCAACCCCCTCCTCTCCCTTCTTCCAATCCAACACAATAATGCCATCATCACATCTTGTGTCCTGATCCTATCTTTAACTTTCCCAAGTTCTTTTCTGTCCGTGATCTCATTTTGTCTTTGCAAAGCCCCATGACATATGACAGGTCTTGCCATGCACAGAAGCTGGTGAAGCTATTAAGGAAAAGAGGTTAAACAGAAAACCTAAAAAGTGCAGGTGTCACTCAGTAACTAGACTAGACCTTGGGACCTTGGACCCCTGCCACAGTGTCTTTCCCAAGACTATTATCTCTCAATCATTAGGAAACATTAGAAAGCCATTTGCTGTAGACAAAGTTCCAGCCACCGGCAGCCTCAAAAAATAAAAATTAAAAAACGGTCAGGGTTGTATCAGCAAGGACTCCCCTAATTCAATTATTCAGTGACTTGCTCCAAGGCCCAGCATCAGCCCCAAGCTACAGAAGAGCTGAGAGCCTGTCTCCCCAGAAACCAGAGGCCAGCAGGGAGATGTTAGTGCTGTGACATCAGGTCCAGCTGTGCAAAGAGATGGCTCTGATCTGAGTTCCATCCCGTTTTTGGTGTCAGGCTCAGACCCTCTCCTGGCCTCTGAGGACTCCTCTTCCTCAGATCTTTGCCCTCAACACATTCTTTTTTTTCCTTCCAACCAACCTCACTAGCCTCAATCAAGGAAGCTGGACCCTTATTTTTAGAACTCTTAAAACGGGGAAGTACTAGTGGGCAAAGAAAAAAGGAAGTAATTGGCCATTTTGGCCCTTTGAAAGGTTTCCTTCCTGATGCCTCCCTTAACACCTCCTTAACTTGGATTTGCACACACACACACACACACACACACACACTCCATGAAATCGCCACTTTTCAGACTTCTCCATGTGGCAGATTCTTCTATGGCTGTGTCTAAGTTGGAATGAAGTTCATACATTAGGATGGAAAAAACCTAGCCCAGCTCCAGGGAGTAAAGAGCTGGAGAGAGCACACCCTGAGGTCACCCTGCTTGAGCCAGCCCTGCAATACTCTGGTCCTCTTAGCTCTGTCAAGCACTTAACAAGCCTGCATTCATTAATGGCGTTCCCCTCAGAGGGCACTAGCATTGCCCCAAGGGGACTAAATGACTTTTGCAAGACCACAGCACAGCATGGGCTGGATCGAGCCAGGCCTTGCTGTCCTCAACTCTCTCTGTCAGCCTACCAAGAGTCTGGCCGGAGTGCCCCTCTTGCTGCCAAACAATACCAGACCCAGTTACACCCACAGAGGAAACTAGAGCTTTCAGCCCTGTCACTCTACTGTCACTCTGTCAAAAGGGCCAGGTTTGAAACAACCATCTCACCCCTTCTTAAAGCATCACATCCAAGTCTTCTGGACCCAGGAGACCATCACTGCTCTTCCAGGCTTTGGATTTTCATTATGCTCCGCCCTCCAGGCATAAAGCTCAAGAGACAAGGTTCTGATGAGCTAAGGCTGACACCCTTGCTCTTTCTTCTCACCTCTTCAAGATGAAGTTAAATGCCTGCTCTCTGAAGTTTCCAATGGCCCCCTTTCATACTGGTCTAAGTTATTAGAAGGAAGGCCTGCCGCATCAGCCTTTCTGGGTTGAAGTGAAGGAGGGAAGCAAACCTGGGGGTGGGGGGAGTCTGACTGCACAGGTGACCTCCAAGAGCTTCACTCCCTTCCAGGCAGAGAATTTAAGAAAAAGAGTAGCAAACCCAACCTCCCTCTCTCCAGGCCTACTCTTGTTACATCTTTGGTAAAGAGGGGCAGTGCTAGTAGTAATATAATAGTAGCTGTGATAGGATAATGATCCCCCAAAAGACACCCACATCCTATCCTAATCCCTAGAAGCTGTGAATGCTGCCTTTTTTTTTTTTTTTTTTTTTAAGAGAAAAAAAAAAAGGACTTTGCAGATAATGGTCTTGAGATGGGGAGATTACGCTGGATTATCCAAGCGGGACTTAAGTACAACCACATGTATCCTCATGAGAGACATGCCAAGGGAGACTGGACACAGAAAACAAAGGCAATTTGACCACAAAGGCAGTGATTGGACTCATGCAGCCACAAGCCAAAGAATGCCAGTCCCCACCAGAAGCTAGAAGAGGCGGAGGCTCGATTGCCCTAGAGATTCCAGAGGGACCGCAGCCCTGCTGACACCTCGATTTCAGCCCAGCGATACTGATTTTCAACTCCTGGTCTCTACAATTGTGAGAATAAATTTCTGTTGTTCTAAGCCACTCAGTTTGTGGCCATTCATTATAGCCATGGGAAGCTAATAAAGTAACTAACACTTCACGATTGCTCACTATGTGCCAGGAACTGTTCTAAGCATTTTACCCACATTACATTATTTCTATCCTGGCCCTAGGTGGTATGAGGCTTGCCCTGTGCAGATACAATACCTGGGGTTTGAATCCCAGCTTCACTGCTTACTGCTGTGACCTTAAGCAAAGTATATAGCCTTTCTAAACCTCAGTTGCCCAGTTCACAAAATGAGCATGTAGTACCTTCTTCATTGAGTTACTAGGAAGATAAAATGGGTAATAAAGATATAAGTACTTAGAACAGTATAGAGTAAGTATTCAATACATGCTAGCTATTAGGAGATCTCAGGGGTTGCGCAAGCCAAAATTAGACACTTAACGCTAATCTGTCAGGACGTGGCAAGACATCCTGGACTCAGTGCAGGAGAAAAGTCCCCTTCAAGCTGATTTGAATCTCAAAGATGACTGTCTGAGGAGTTCAGTTAAGTATTTCTTCTCTTAATTAAGCAATTTAGGTTTTTAGTGGTGGCCTCATTTCAAAAAAGGCAGTAGCCTGAGGCTATGCTAATTCTGCAGCATTCCCCAGCTGACTTCCCCACTCCCACCTCCAGTTTTTCATTTTGTTTTTTGTTTGTTTGTTTGTTTGTTTTAGACAGTCTCACTCTGTTACCCAGGCTGGAGTGCAACAACATGATCTTGGCTCATTGCAACTTCCATCTACAGGGCTCAAGAGATTCTCTTATCTCAGCCTCCCAAGAATCTGGAATTACAGGCATGCACCACCACAGCCAGCTAATTTTTGTGTTTTTAGTAAAGACGGGGTTTCACCATGTTAGCCAGTCTGATTTCGAACTTCTGGCCACAACTATTCCAGCTGCCTCAGCCTCCCAAAGTGCTGGGGTTACAGGCGTGGGCCACTGCACCCAGCCCCACCTCCAGTTTTTAAGGAGAGCTGTGCACATTGTTCATCCATACTGACGACCTCACTTGAAGCGTCTGCACCTGACTCACCCCTGCAGAATCCACATTTTCTCCCTGTAATTCTGGTATTAAGAACTGGAGCCCTGGTATTAGGAAGTCGTATTAGGAAGTGAGTGGAAGGCAGAAACCATCAGTCCATTTTGGGGCCTTCTAAGGCCACTCCAACATGTCCCAGTAGTCTGGAGAATAATAAATTCAAGGGTTTACTTTGATTAAGAGATCAAAACCAAGTTAGTAAAGAATAAGCAACGTTTGCCCAGGGACAAGGGAAGGGAGACCTACAGTTATTGCCTGTAATCCCATTACTTTGGGAGGCACCTGAGGTCAGGAGTTGGAGACCAGCCTGGGCAACGTGTCAAAATCTTATCTCTACTAAAAATACAAAAATTAGCTGGGCGTGGTGGCGCATGCCTGTGGTTCCAGCTACTCAGGAGGCTAAGGTGGGAGAATCACTTAAACCTGGGAGGCAGAGGTTATAGCGAGATGAGGTTGCCACAATGCACTCCAGCCTGGGCGACAAAACGAGACTATGTCTCAAAAAATAAATAAAGTTATTACCTGAAAAAAAAATGAGAGGGGAAAAAAATAAAAAGGACTTTCATTTACTTGGACCTTTATGATAAAGTTTGCCCAACTCTCCTGTACAGGTGATGTAATTCAAAGATGCAAGGAAGCTTCGCCTCGACCGGAACCCAGGCCTTGTGCCCCCACGTAAGAAATCTGCACGCCAGGGGTTAACCAGGGGAGAAGGGCCCGGCCGCTGGGCCTTGGATTCCTCTTAGTCAAGAGTTCCAGCCCCTGACACTTGAGCCAACCAGCCTAAGATGACTCCGGCCACCGCTGCCCTATGCTGGCAACCAGGCCTCTCCCCAGCAGGCTCCAGGGGCAGCCACCTGCGCTCTCCTTACCCTCCCCTATCCCACTCTCCTAGAGGAAGGATGAAGGAGAACAGCTCCCCCTCCTTACTCTCAGGCACCCACAGATTTCTGAGCTGCCGTCACCACTGACGAGAACCCAGGTCCCCTGGAGGGATCGCTTCTCTTTCTCATTCCATCCTCCCCATCAATGAACACGCAGCAACACCCACGCTCCCGCTCCTCCTACTCCAGGGGGAGACCGAGCCGGAGAGCGACATCCGGAGCTGGAAGCCGCTGCAACCGGGACGCCGGCCTCCCTGTCCCGCAGTCTCTCGCCCTTTCCCAGACACGGGAGGATCCCAGGCCAGCCCAGTATTCCGGCCGGAGAGGATGCCCGAGTATTGCGCGGGGCCCCGCCTACCCAGGCGCTCGGCGCTAGAGACCTTGGGGAGCGCGCTAGAGAAACGCTGAGCTCCACCCGCGAGGGCCGGACGCCGGGCACCGCACCCGGGACTCGAACCCCGAGCCCTCGTCTCCCAGTTTTAGGCATCCCAAGGCAAGCCCCGGCCCAGCACCCCCGCGCCGCGTCTTTCCCGGCACCCCCGCCCGGGCTGCCAGCGCACCCATCCTGCCCCCAACAGGTCGCGAGCAGCGGGGAGCGCGCCGCCCGTCCGGCAGGCGCTGGGAGGCGAGCCGGAGCGAAGTCGAGGGCCGGCCGCGCGCGCGGGAGGGGTCGTCCAGGGCTGCGAGCCCGGCCACTTACGCGCGGGCTCTGGGGAACCCCATGGAGAGGAGCACGTCCAGCGCGGATCCATGCTTGATGGTGCCGGGGCGCTGCTGGCGGTTCCTCCGGGGGGTGACTTTGCCGTACAGCTCTTCTCTCGCAGCCATGCCGAGCGGACTGGGGTGGCCGTACTGAGCCATGGCTCAGCGGCCAGCCATCACCAGGGACGGCGCCCAAGCCGGATCGTCCGGGGAGGAGGAGGCAGTCGGCCTGGGCCAGGGGAGGGGGCTCGGGGACCCAGAGCCAGGCGGGAGGCGGCGGCGGCGGGGGCGGCGCTCCGAGCTTCCCCAGAGTCGAGACTCTGACGCTTCCTGGTGAGGCCACAGGAGCCAGAACGCCGGCGAGCAGCCGCTGCGGGACCAGCCTCAGCCACTCGGGCCCCCGGCTGCCCCCAGCGCTGCGCCTGCAGTAGCCCTGTTTCCTCCGCCCCCTTCCCTCTTCTCGCCTAGCGGTCCGGGAATTTGCAATGAGTAATTTTTGAATGGATCAAAAAGGAAAAGAAGCCTTGTGGGCTGGCCCTGCCTTGCCTGTACCCGAGCCCCGCCCCTCTCTTAAAGCGGCCGCGCTGTCCGAGGAGGCTCGGTGCGGGCTGGAGCTGTAGCCGCGCTGGCTTGCAGGCGAGGACCCCAACCTTGTGGGCTGCTTGTGTGCTTCGGGTCCCGAGAGTCACCCCCGGCGCCCAGCCTTCACCTTGGCTCGCATACCTGCCCAACTGGGCCTCAAGACAGCAGATCAACCCATTTCGAGTTTCATGTGGTTCTAGATGCGGTTATTAATGGAAATCAGGTGAACTGATGGATGATGCTAATGGACCAGAAGGCCAAGCCATAAGGCCTAGATAAAAGGTTTTGCTTCCCAAAGATCCTGCAAAACCCACAGGGTTGTTAGGACCATCGGGTTTGGGTTCCTAATCAGCTGGCCCGGCGACTGCACTAAAGACCTACTGTGCTCTCCAAGGGTATGGTCAGTGACTGGGTAGTGCCTTTTGGGTGGGGCAGAGGGGGTGGGGAGCAGCATCTCAGGTTCTCAGAGCTGGCAGGACCTGGAAGGGAACAAGAAAAGAGGTACAAGGCAGAAAGAAGAGGGAAGAGAAAAAGAAAGGAGGAAGAAGGCGAGGAAGGAAGGGCCAGGAGGGTAGAGGGAGAAGGAACAGAGAAAAGATACTTCTTGACTAGGCCCAGTGGCTCACACCTGTAATCCCATCACTTTGGGAGGCCGAGGCAGGTGGATCACAAAGTTAGGAGTTCGAGACTAGCCTGGCCAAAATGGTGAAACCCCGTCTCTACTAAAGACACAAAAATTAGCCAGGTGTGGTGGCGCATGCCTGTAATGCCAGCTACTCGGGAGACTGAGGCAGGAGAACGGCTTGACCCCGGGAGGTGGAGGCTGCAGTGAACCGAGATCACGCCATTGCACTCCAGCCTGGGCCACAGGGAGACTCCGCGTCAAAAAAAAAAAAAAAAAAAAAAAAGAGAGAGAGAGAGAGAAACGACACTTCCTAATTACAAGAGGTGCTCAAAAGGAATGGGCTTATTTCTTGAGGGAGTGTATATCCTGTCAATAAAAGGATTCAAAGAAGGACTAAATCACCACTGCGCAATAATAAGTGAATTGTACCGTAGGTTGGACAAAACTACTCCCACCGCAAAGAAGGTGGAAGCCATAACCATGTTGATGCCCCATCCCCCACCTGGTGAATTTGGCTGGGGGATGTTAATACTCTTTTTTTTTGAGACGAAGTTTCACTCTTGTTACCCAGACTGGAGTGCAATGGCGCGATCTCGGCTCACTGCAACCTCCGCCTCCTGGGTTCAGGCAATTCTCCTGCCTCAGCCTCCTGAGTAGCTGGGATTACAGGCACGCGCCACCATGCCCAGCTAATTTTTTGTATTTTTAGTAGAGACGGGGTTTCACCATGTTGACCAGGATGGTCTCGATCTCTTGACCTCGTGATCCACCCGCCTCGGCCTCCCAAAGTGTTGGGATTACAAGCTTGAGCCACCGCGCCCGGCAATACTCTTTCATTTGGAAACAAAGTCACCGTCTTCAGTCAGGGACAAGGGTCCCAACTTGCTATAATGAAACAGGCAATGAGTAAACCCTAACTGATAGTCTTTTTTTGGTAATAATAATAAGAAAACCTAATATTTATTGGGCTCTTGTATGTGCCAGTCAGTATGCTAATCATGAGTGAATTAACTCACTGAATCTTTACACTGACCCTAGGGGTGTGTTTAATCATTATCCCAGTGTTATAGATGAGAAAACTCAGCTCAGAGAGGTTGGGGAAGATTACAGAGCTGCTAAGTGCTGTAGCTAGAGCACTTGTATCCATTGTGATGCCTTAGGCAAGTTACTTCTTCTTTCTACAGCCTCATTTCCTCATTTGTATGGACCGTGGTAACCTAACCTTGCACACACTGCGTTTTCCAGAAATGTCAGTCCCGGGCCTGTCCCTTGTTGGAGTATGGGGGAGGGATGGTGACCAGCACCCATGGAGTGGCTTTTTGTGGTTGCTTTATAAGGCATCTAAAGTTTATAGCAGGGGAAATGATAGAGCATAACTCCCTGAGCCCGGAATTGGTTTTCTAAAGAGTAGTCAGTGGTGTTTGGAAGCAGGGAGATAAGACAGCTGGAGCTTAAGTAACAATGTGCATTAATTCTGCCTCCTGCTATATAAAGGATGAGGGAAAATTAATGCTTCCTGGGTAGGAGCTTCTTCCAGAGCTTCCTGGGGACCTTGCAGGATGCTCTTCTGAGGATGGAGCAAAAAGACAGGACTGGGCTGGAAACACCAATACCTAGTATTAGCCTCCTTGGATGTGTTCAGTAAAGCATCTTGCATTTTACCCAATGTTCTGAATTTTTTCCAAATGCCTGGGTTAAAAGTCAGGTGATCTGGATTTTGAGATATAATAATGTACGTGAAAAGGATCACTTTGACCTTGGGAGGTGAAAGCACTTTGTAAACCATAAAGCGCTATATAAAAATAACTCACATTTATTGAGTACTTACTATAGGCTGGTGTTGTTCTTTGCTTCTCACACATGTGACTCATACAATTCCTTGAGGAGACTGTGAACTAGGAAGGACTTTACAAATGAAGGTGCTGACACAGAGTTCAAGCATCTTATCCAAAGTCACATGGCTAGTAAATGGCAGAGCCAAGATTTGAACTCAACATTTGACCAAACAACTGCTTACCACCATTGTTATCATGATAAGTGGATACCAGCCTTTCAGATAATTTTTTGACTCCACCTATGCCCCTTGACACAGAATTGCTGGATCTCTGTTTCTCCAGAAAAATTGAATTAATTGTCTTTCATCCTGCCTCTAGGCAAACTGTAAGATACAGGAAATGATGGATATAAAAATACTTTTAGGTAGCCTGGAAAAAGCACTATGGAAAACTAGTCACCTTAGATGTAAACTGTTTTTGTCTGGGGCACTTTTACAGAAATTCCAGCTTGGCTTACTCACCTGTCTTCAGTTCAGTGCCAACCCGTTTTGTTTTGTTTTGTTTATTTTTTTAAGAGGGGATCTCACTATGTTGCCCAGGCTGGAGTGCTGCAGTGGCTATTCACAGGCGCAATCCCACTACTGATCAGCATGGGAGTTTTGACCTGCTCCGTTTCAGACCTGGGCTGGTTCACCCCTCCTTAGGCAACCTGGTGGTCCCCCGCTCCTGGGAGGTCACCATATTGGTGCCGAACTTAGTGCGGACACCCAATCAGCATAGAGCACTACAGCCCAGAACTACTGGGCTCAAGCAATCCTCCCACTTCAGCCTCCCGAGTAGCTGGGACTACAGGCACGCACCACAACGCCCAGCCAACGTCCATTTTATTTAGGACTGCTGCTGTTTGTTCTGCACTGGATTGGGGGGCTGGCAATTAAGATGCACTCTGCTTTAACTGTATTGACGTTAAAAAGCTAGAAGAAACTTCATAAATGTCTACATTGTTTTATTACAAACAGAGAAGAGGAGTGACCATTCATCTGACAGTACATCTTACAGTGGTCAAGAGAGATGAGATGGACATAGGAGTCTTGCGAAGGGACAGAGCTGACACATCAGCATGAAGTAGCTCCCTCAAAAGGGAAAACAAGTTGTCATGTCTGCTGTCCAGTCATGTCACAATCCACCCTGAACCACAAAGCTCTCTCTGTTCATGTGAGTATGTTTAACACTCCGACATTGGCCCTGCCACAATTTCGCTATTGGTACATCCGCTCAGGTGGCCGGGGGATGGGCCTGGTTGACTGCACTCATTATTTCTGAAGCATGTCCTGTGTCTCTTCCTTCTCCTTCTCTCCGTCCTTGAGGAACGGTTGTGATAACCTTAAGAACATGTAATAGGTCTGTAATCCTAGCACTTTGGGGGCCAAGGCAGGTGGGCAGATTATTTGAGCTCAGGAGTTTCAGACCAACCTGGGCAAAATGGTGAACCCCATCTTTACTAAAAATATAAAAATTAGCCTGGCGTGGTGGTGCACGCCTATAGTCCCAGCTGCCTGGGGGACTGAGGCAGGAGGATTGCTCAAACTTGGGAGGTTGGGCCGGGCGTGGTGGCTCATGCCTGTAATCCTAGCACTTTGGGAGGCTGAGGTGGGTGGATCACCTGAGGTCAGGAGTTCAAGACCAGCCTGGCCAACATGGTGAAACCTCATCTCTATTTAAAAAAAAAACACACACACACACACACACACACAACTTGGGAGGTCGAGGCTGCAGTGAGCCAAGCTGAGATGGTGCCATTGCACTCCACCCTGGGTGACAAAGTGAGATCCTCTACCAGTATTTCCAATCCTGAGTGCTGGGGCTGAGGTGTTGCCTTGGCAAACGAAGGCATCTTTTGAACTGCTGGGAATGACTTATCCCCTTGACTTGAAGAGGATCCTTCACGGTCAGAAGATTTGGAAACCATGTGCTGCTTCTCTCTGTGCCTCAACTTCCTTGCATGCCAAACAAGGGGGTTAACTTAGCCTGGGGATCTCTGGGACTTCGCCAAGGGATCCTCGGAAACTTTGAGGGGCAGGTGTTGGGGTCACCAAACTGAGGATTAAGTGGGTAGTGTGGCATCCTCTTTTCTTTCATTAAAAGTCTGTCAGCTTTATGTTGGGAGGTTTTGGGTTTTGGTTTTGTTCGTTTGTTTGTTTGTCTGTTTTTTGAGACAGAGTCTCTCCCTGTTGCCCAGGCTGGAGTGCAGTGGTGCCATCTCAGCTCATTGCAGTCTCTGCCTCCTGCATTCAGCCTCCTGAGTAGCTGGGATTACAGGCATGTGCCTCCACACCCAGATAATTTTTGCATTTTTAGTAGAGATGGGGTTTCACTATGTTGGTCAGTCTGGTCTCAAACTCCGGACCTCAAATGATGTGCTCACCCCAGCCTCCCAAAGTGCTGGGATTACAGTCGTTAAACCACAGGGACCAGCCAAGATCTAATTTTTTTTTTTTTTTAGGCCAAGTCTTGCTTTATAGCCCAGGCTGGAATGCAGTGGCGTG